AGCATATTGCGCTTTGGCGGAAGTTGGTCTGCATTTTGCTTGTGTTTAGAGATATTACCTGGTTGAAGAAACAAAGTTTCATTGTAGGCTATTGTTGAGGGGGTAGCATGGTTACCGTTGAGAGCTGTTGGCTAGATCTATGTTTGAAATTTGAGCAGGGGCTGGGGATTTAGCTCAGCGGCAAAGCGCCTGCCTGGCAAGCGCAAGGTCGTGAGTTCCGTTCCCAGTACCGGAGAAAAACCAAAAAAAAGAAATTAAGAGCAAAAGGCCAGTGGTGTGATATGAAATATTTGGCCAGAGGGGTGGCGCTAATGGAGCTGTGGGTTGCAAGGAGGAAATAGAGGAGAACATGACTGCAAAGAACAGGACAATGAAAACATGAACTGAAGCCTTTCACCTGAAGAGGAGTGTATTTGAATTGCAGGAGATCCCTGTTTTTTAGTCTTGCCATGTGTTGTAAAAAATTAACAGGAAGTAAGGATTGTGATTGTAATAGTTTTTCTAATGTTTTCATGTTGTTTTTAGATATGTTTGTAGTCAGGTTAATTCATCAAAGTATTTTTTTTAACCTTGAATTTTGGTCACTTTTTTTTTTGGTCACCCTTTGAATATTTTGTTTTTGGTGCAGGAATGAGTGCAAAAAAAAAAAAAAAAAGAATCGTATATATGCAACTGTTACATTAATATAAATATGAATAGACTAAAACATGTTAACTTTTCATAAATCTGCCACTAGAGACCATGGATTAAGGAAATGTGTATGGTTATCAAGCTGACCGGCAGCGGGCTGAGGATTTAGCTCAGCAGCACAGCGCCTGCCTGGCAAGTGCAAGGTCGTGAGTTTGATTCCCGGTATGGAAAAAAAAACAAAAACAAAAAAAAAACAAAAAACAAAAAACAAAAAAAAAAAACAAAAAGCTGACCAGGGGTGGATTGCAGTGGGTTGACAACTGGTGGTCAATTTATAACCCCCAGCTGAACTGAGTAAGCATAGCGCTGGGTGTGGGAGGCCCATTGGGGATTGCTGCCAGCAGCATAAGATTAAGGCTGTTGGAGCTGGTGGAAGCTGTAAGGAGCTGTTGGTTGTTTTGGAGGAGCTCGTGATGCTGGCTTTCCTGATGAATTTGGCTGTTTTCATCCTCTGTGGAGCTCAGGACCTTACTGGTACTGAGAATGGCTTTGGTTCACTTTGGGGGAGCTCTGGTTCTCTGAGCATGGCTTCCTGGCTCCAGAGGGGAAGATGGTGCACTGCTGGTCTCCTGGAGAAGCTTGCTGCATTGGCTTCCCTGATGGGAACTTGGCCATCTTGATCATCGGAGGAGCTTGGGACCTCACTTTTTTTTTTGTACCGGGAATAGAACTCATGACCTCAGGCTTGCCAGCAAGCGCTTATGCCTCTGAGCTACAACCTCGGCCCCTTGATTTTTTTTTTTTTTTTGGTAGGGACCTCACTGTTGCTGAGGATGGCTGTGGTACCTTTCAGGGGAGCTCTGGTTCTTCTGAGGTCACTTCCTGGCTCCAGTGCAGATCCCTCAGCCTGCTAGCACAGATCCTTCATCCCACTGGCACAGACTTCCTAGATTCCACCACTGAGCTTTGAGCCTTCCCAGTGCAGATCCGTGAAACAGGCCTGCATGAGATATTGTTATGGGGGTGCTGGGGATTTAGCTCAGCGGCACAGCGCCTGCCTGGCAAGCACAAAGTTGTGAGTTCGATTCCTGGTACCATAAGAAAAACAAAAAAACAAATGAAAAAAAGATATTGTTATGGGCTCTGAGCCTCCGGTTGGACTCGTGGGAGGCACTGTTATGAGCTCTAGATCTTCAGCTGGACTCATGTAGGACATTGCCATGAGATCCAGGCCCTCAGCTGGATTCCTTGGTCTCAGTGTGTGGACAGATTTCCTGCCCTCTTTTGTGTATTGTTCTTTGGGTGACTATTATAAATAAAACCTTATAGGGGCTGGGGATTTAGCTCAGCGGCACAGCGCCTGCCTGGGAAGCACGAGGTCGTGAGTTTGACTCCCGGTACCAGAGAAAAACCAAAAAAAAAAAAAAAAAAATCTTATAAAATGTGTCCTGTATTATATTGTTCTCCCCTTGCAAAAATAAGCCCCAAACCAACACAAAATATAATATGTAGTTATATCATCTGTATGAGCTGTAATATATACGTGGATTTTTTTTTTTTTTTTTAAAGATAAGTGTCTTCTTGTGTAGTCCAGGTTGGCCTTGAACTCATGGTGATCCTTCTGCCTCAGCCTCCCCAGTGCTGGGATCACAGGCATGCACTACCACGCCTGACCCAAACCTGACATGTTTGATAGTCCCACTGAAATACTTGTTCCCTGCATGTGTGAGCTTAATTCTCTTTTTTTCTTTCTTTCTTGTGGTTGAGGTCCCTGTCTATGACTATGTGTATGTGTACTTTTACCTTATGATAAACTTCATATGAAAATAATTTTAAGTGTTTTTTTGTTTCCTTTTTTTTTTTTTTTTTTTTTGGTCTTTTTGAGACTATGCAGTTCAGGCTGGCCTTGAGCTCGCTTTGTAGCCCGGGCTGGTCTGGAACTTGCAAGGATCCTCCTGCCTCAGCCTCCCAAGTGCTGGGATCACAGGCATGCGCCACCACGCCTGGCTTTACTGCTTTTTACACAACCCTGTGCAACTGAAAAGTACTCATTGTAAGAAATTAATAATACTTTGAGGTTTTTAAAGCTTCATGGATTATCTTTATCTCATCCTATCTATCTGCATACATGGCTTTGATGGAACTCATTCAACATTACTTTTGTTTCGTTGTTTTGAGACAGGGTTTCACTATGTAGTTCAAGTTGGCCTCCAACTTGCAGCGATCTTCCTTCCTCAGCCTCCCAAGTACTGGGATGACAGGTGTGCAGCTACTATTCTTAGACACAGGAAACCCTGAGAGTGTGACACAGATGTGTTCGCAACTGCGGATAAAGAGACAGAGCAGCATTCTGAAAGTGGTTGGGTCTCAGGAAGCAGAGGGAATCTGTTTTTCATTAAAAACAAAAACAAAAGCCCTGCTTCCGTAGAAGATGGTATGGCAATTCCTCAAATATTTAAAAAGAATTACCACATGATTCAACAACTCCATTTCTGAACCCACACGGTGACCTGCGCCTGTGATCTCAGCATTCAGGAGGCTGAGGCAGGAGGGTGGCGAGTTCTGTCTCAAAAACAAATGAAATATTCCATTTATGGTTTGTACCCAAAGGAAGTAAAACTAGGATATTGGACAAGTTTTTTGCCCTTCCCACTCGAGATTGAACTCAGGGCCTTCACACTGAGCTACATCTCCAGCCCTTTTTTGTGTTGAGACAAGGAGTTGCCCGAGGTGGGCCTCAAACTTGTGATCCCCTGCCTCAGCCCCCTAGTGCAGGGATTATGTGCATGCGGCACCAGGACCAGCTGAAAATATTTCCACCCAGCTTCCTACCTGCATAAATCAGCCAGTGACGAATGGATAACACAGTGAGGCCCACAAGCACAACGGTATGATCCGGCCTAAACCAGAATCGTGTCCTAACCCACGGACAGCCCAGGGGGACTCAAACTAGTGACATGAGTCACGCGTGCTGGTGCTACCTGTGATTCCAGTGCTCAGGAGGCTGAGGCAGGGAGGTGGCAGATTCAAGGCCAATCTCAGTAATCCAGAGATCCATCTCAGAAGAAAATAAAAAGCCCCACCCTCTGAGAGTTCTCACTAAATTGCCTCAGCTCAATCAAACTTGTCATCCTCCTGCCTCAGTCTCCACAGTCCCTGACATCACAGCTGTGTGCCACTGCACCCAGACTTTTTTTTTTAGCTTATTAAAAATGGTTTTAAAGGGGCTGGGGATTTAGCTCTGCGGCACAGCGCCTGCCTGGCAAGTGCAAGGTCATGAGTTCAATTCCCGGTACCGGAAAAAAAACAAAAAACAAACAAAAAAAAGTAGTTTTAAAAGGTGAAAGTCAGGCCTGCTGGCCTACACCTGTGATCTCTGCACTTGGTAAGCTGAGGCAGGAATACTGCTGAAAGTTAAGTCAGCCTGAGCTACACAGAGGAAAGTTATGTCAAAAAAAAAAGTTAAAAGGAAAAAAAACCCAGGCAGTTACATCAGCCTATTATTTTTCCATTTAGTTCTTGCAGTGCTCATGGCTGCTGGCCAGGGCCTGTCACTGAGCACATACCTCCCCTGCTGTTGGAAAGCGACGGGTCCCTGCTATGTTCTAGGTTGGGCTTCAACTTACTCCGAACCCCTGGTTGGGCCCCAACTCTCCATCCTCCTGCCTCAGCCTCCCGGGTACACCGCCAAGCCCAGCCCCATTGCTTCTTAGGGAATGGCCTACTACTTTTGACCCTTTAGCCTGTGACTGAAATCCTGCGACCCGAGCGATGTTACACCTGAAGCGCCACCAAGCGGCCGCCTGGGAAAGTACACACGAGAGGTCCTAGAGCCGGGGTCTTCGCACCAGTGACCAGCTGTTTAGTTGGGGTTTATAGCGAGTTGTTCCCCAAAGACAAACTAGTTTGCTTGGCTTAAAATTCAGGAGAATCAAGTTAGGCTGGAAGCACAGGAGCCCACCTAACAGTCTCACGCAAACAGGGTTTTTTGTGTGGACATGGGAAATCCAGGGCTTGAAGAGCAGCTCAGGGGCAGCTTCAGCACCCCCCATACACACAAGGCCTATGTCCTCCTGATCACAAGATGGTTGCCGCATCACCAGTCATCAGTAACCACTCCAGACCAAAGAAGGGCGAGCAGGCCATGGAGAATGCCAGCCAAGGTCAGCCTTGGAGGCCACACGTTTTGCTTACAGCTCAGTGGCCATAACTGAGTTACACAACTTCACCTCCAGCCTCCAGCACATGGGGACACATGACAGGGCCAGGCTTGCGACAGGCTCCCATGTCCTCCTCCATGTGGAGCCTTTTCCTGCCTGCCTTTGGCTCAGGCAGCCGGAAGCCCTGTATAAATCAGTCTTGACCCAGCGTGCTTTATAGGAGAGATTTATTTGAAGAAATATTACAACATATAAAAACTACATAAAGTCTCAATTTCCACTTCAGAGTGGAAGATTTAATATAATGCATAATAAAAAACTTTTAAAATCCAGAATGCACAAAGAATAGCACAGTTTGATCACTAAGTCATTAGTCGATAAGCAAACCTCACGGACAGCTTCGTGTCGGCCAAGGCCGCGGACACCGCACGACACACCGGAACTGACAGAGCAACATGTTAGACGACGACGACATCAGTGCATGTGAGGTCTCCTGGTGGCAGAAATGGGGCGAGAGACACGACCTAGGCCTTCGCGGCTGTCTCCTCCTCCTTTACTTTAGCTGGAAGGGAACACGGGCAGAGTCACTGGAACGCAGCGCTGGAAGTGCTGCTGAGGGCTGACGTGGGCCGGACTGCGCTCCCCGCCCAGGGCAGCCCCGTACCTGCGGCGCGCTCTCGGGCTCTGGCCAACATACACAGCTTGATCTCCAAGCCGATGGCTTTGGCCAGGGGAGGCGGCACGGCGTTTCCCACCTGCGGGAAGAGGGACGGAGGGCAATGCCCAATTGGCTCTGCCAGAGCCGCGGCCCACACCCTCCCTACTGCTTGTCCCGGCACCCTCCGACTGGCCACCCCACCCCCAGCACCCAGTCACGCACAGAAGCGGCCCCAGGAAAGCTCAGAGCCGCCAGCCTCACTTGGCCTCTAGCTGCAGCCCCGCTCCTGCACAGCGGGCTCGGACGGGCTTCTCCCCGGGAACCCAGGCCCCGAGGCCCAGCCCACGCTTCACAGCTCAGCCCCTGCGCCGGGCCTGTGCCTGGACCGCGGGCAGACGACACCCATGAGCTCCGGGGACTGACCTGCCGGTGCCGGTCCAGGATGTTGCCGAAGAGCCGGTAGGTGTCGGGGAAGCCCTGGGAGCGGGCGCACTCCCGCACGCTCACCACGCGGTGCTGCTCGGGGTGCAGCACGCGGCCCTGGGGCGAGAGGAGGCGTCAGGGCGCAGGCGCCGCTGCAGAGGGGCGCAGGCTCCCGCACACCCCGCCACACCCACCTGCTTGCCCATGGGCTCGGGGTTGGTGACGGTGGTGCTGAAGAAGCCGTCCCACTCCAGGCGCCCGTACAGGCCCGCCCAGTGGTTGTGCCGGTTCCCGGTGTGCGGCAGGCACCAGGGGATGAGCGTGTTGAACTGTCTGGCCGAGGGGTCACAGGCTCTGCCGGCGGCTGCAAGAGAGGCCTGGTGAGGCCCGGCGGGTGGGCAGTGGGAGCCACCCAGCAGGGGACGATGGCCACACACCCTCCGCGCAGGAGCAGACGCCGCGCAGGGCGCCGGAGCTGCTGCTGCCGTTCTTCTTGTCCTGGTGGGTGTAGCGCAGCTTCTTGGCCTGGGTGCCGTCCGACAGCTGCACCTCGATGTTGGGCAGGTCACGCCAGTCCGAGCCGGGGGCCAGCGGGATGTGCCGCATGCGGGCGGCCACCAACGGGCTCATGTCCTGCAAGAGCGCGAGTGGCCCCAGCTCTCACCTGGCCCGGAGCCCCGAGCGTCTGCGGTGCACAAGAACCCGGCGCCTCGCACCCACGGGAAGGGACACCAGCCAAGAACGGGGAGCAGGGGAGGGGCAGGCGGGCGCGGCGAAGAGACAACGGCGAGCGTGATGTCTCAACTGAGCGTGCAGGCCGAGCAGGCGCGCTGGAAGGGCAGCGGGGAAGGGGGAAAGGCAGCGGGCACAGGGCGAGGGGCAAGGGGGGAGAGGCGAGGCGCTCGGACAGCAGGAGCTCCCGTGGGTGCTGGGCCGGGGGCCAGGATGCGGGCCGGAAAGGTGGAGAGCGAGGGCTGCGGGAGCAGAGGCTGGAAGCCGGGCGGGGAAGGGCGGGCCCGCTGCCCACCCAGAGCCCCCTGGCCCCGGCCGGCAGCAGAGGCCACCGAGCAGCTACCTTGCAGATGTGGTCCCTGACGGTGGGCTGGTAGTGCGAGCCCCGCAGCTGCCTCTGGAACCAGGACTGCGGCTCCCCATTGTACGCGATCTCGGGGGCAGAGGCCCCGTTCCGGATCTCGGGGAGGTCAGACATCGTGTCCCGCACCGTGATGGTTCGCAAGGGGGCCGAGCCCAACCTGCGGCGGAGCAGAGCACGCTGACACCTCCAGGACATGGGCTGCTCCCGGCAGCTCCGCGGTCCCCAGGGAGGGCCAAGGCGCGGGCTGAGGGCGGGCGGGCCCCTACCTCGTGATGTTGCTCACGAACTTCTTGTCGTCCACCACGACGCTCAGCTGGCAGGCGCGGGGCGCAAACACGTGCAGGGGCTCCGGGAACAAGGGCAGCTTCTCCCCGGGGGCCGCCGCCAGGATGATGGCGCGCCGCCGCGTCTGCGCCACGCCGTACTGCCCAGCCTGCGGGGGCGGGGGACAGCATCAGCGGGCGCCCTGCGGGTCCCCAACCGACCCGAGCTGGACTCCTGAGGGGGGCTGGAGGGCATGGGGACGAACGGCTAGGGACGCCAATGGTGCTGTGGGCAGCACCAGGGGAGGCTGGAGCTTGGCCACCTGACAACCTTGTCCCAAGGACACTGACAAGCGGGGGCTCAGGCATCCGAGATGAGGGTCCAGCTGCAGCCCACCTTCCCCGGGGGAAAGGGCTGGGAACGCGGGTGAGCAGGAAACCCCGGCTCCAGCCTCCCCACATCCCCGGGACTCGGCCTCCAGGAGGCGCCAATGGGACTCGCTGGGTGCCATCCCCGTGACCAGGACCAGGGCCTTCCCAGCAAGCCGCACCGCCGGCCTTTGCAGCCTCTAACAGCGCTGGGATGACAGACAACCGTCACCACGGCCACCTGGCTCTGTGCTTTCTAGATCTGAGTTCCGAGAGTGCCGTGCTGGTGGGGACGGGCAGGACCCAAGGGGACCACGCTGAGCCGCGCCCACAGCACCTGCAGCACGCCGAAGGTGCACTGGTAGCCCATGCGGACCAGGCAGCGCAGCGTCAGCTTCAGCACCATGGAGCGCTTGAAGGACACGAAGTTCCGCACGTTCTCCAGCAGGAAGAAGCGCGGCCGGTAGTAGTCACAGTAGCTGCGGAGCGGGAGACGCGCAGGGTCACCGCGGGCAGGGAAGGCGCTGCCTGGGCCGAGGAGCCGCACCTCCCGCCTTCCGGGCCCTGCTCCCACCTGAGGAAGGAGACCACCAGGGAGTTCTTGAACTTCGAGTAGGTGCGCGAGTTGAAGCGGTTCATGCCACTGAAGCCCTGGCAGGGGGGCCCGCCGCACAGCATCTCCACGTCCCCCTTCTGGGGCAGCCGCTGGTCGAGGGAGTTGGTCACATTGCCGGCCATGACCAGCTTGAGCAGCACGTTACAGTCCTCGGTGAACACCGTGGAGCCGGGGTTGTTCAGCCGGAACGCCTGCGCCGCGGGCTCCCACATCTCGATGGCCCACAGCGTCTCGCAGATGCCTGGGGATGGGAGGACGACAGCGCGCTCGCAGCCGCCCTGAGCAGGGGCAGGACAGGGGACTCGAGGCCCAGCCTGGCGCAGCCTTACCTGCCTGGTGGAAGCCCTCCGATAGCCCCCCACAGCCCGAGAACACGTCCAGGGTCCGCAGCTTGGGCAGCTTGATCGCCAGCTCTCGCTCACTGGGCTCCGATGCCTGAGATTTCGTCTTGCCTTTCCCTGGAGGGGACAGGCCACAGTGAGCACGGCCACCTACCCTGCTGGGCCGCCCCCTGGGCCTGCTCAGACGTCGCCGCGTGCCCATCCACTGGCAGCAGTGTGGGGGCAAGGTGGCGTCCCACGCGCTGCGGGATCCACGGCGCAGGGGCCTGGCTGCCAGCCGCAGCCCCGAGCACTAAAAGGCCGCCACCAGGGTCGTACCTTTCCCCTTCCCTTTGCCCTTGTTCCCCGGGCTGCGGGCGTGGTTCGGGGGATCCTCAAAGGTTTTGCTCTTTGCGTTGTAGGCCTGAAAAGGAGAACCACAGTCTGGGACAGGAAGGCCCCGTCTCCTCTGACAGACGGCTGAGAAGCAGATGTGGTAGAATCGATGTCTCCCTAAATGGACCCCCGGCTAATTAGCCACCAGTATGAGAAGCTCAATTTCATTTCACCGGAAACTGGGACCAGCTGCAAATACTTTTATTCGGCCAACACTAAAATCCGGGCTGTGATAAGCGCCTGTACCCGCACCGTCAGGCAGACAGGTGCTGCGTGAGGAGTGCAGTGTTGGAGGGGCAGAAGGCCTCGCCCTGAGACCACCGCACGGAGGTGCCGGGCGCAAGCACTTCCAGCTCCGAGCTTCTTGCCCGGGGCCTGGGCCCCACGCGGTTCTGTGGGCCTGGCCCGGATGCCACACAGGCACCTGGTAAAGGGACTGGGCGAGGTGCAGGGCTGTGTTCCCTGGAGAAGGTGGACATTTGGCCAACTCACACAGGGACACTGGCTGGGCTGGTGGAGGCCACCTAAGGATCTTCAGATTGTAGTCACATTCAGACTATGATATTACACTCCATTGTGTTTTCTCTTTAAACTCCATGGTGATACAAGCCTATAATCTCAGTACTCTGAGAGGCTGAGGCAGGAAGATCACAAATTCAAACTCAGCCTGGACAACTTAGTGATTTAGGGAGATTTTGTCTCAAAATTTTTTTATTAATTTTTTTGGTACTGGGAATCAACTCAGGACCTTGTGCTTGCCAGGCACGCGCTGTGCCACTGAGCTATATGCCCGGCCCTTCTTTTTTTTCTTTTTTTTTTTTTTTTTTGGTCTTTTTGAAACAGGATCTTGCTATACAGTTCAGGCTGGCCTTGAGCTCATTCTGTACTACTGGCTGGTCTCAAACTTGTAACGATCCTCCTACCTCAGCTTCCCAAGTGCTCAAAATTTAAAAAAAAAAAGGGCTGGGGATGTAGTTCAGTGGGAAAGGCCCTTGGTTGTCAGTCCTGCAGAAAGCAAGGAAGAAAAGAATGGGAAAGGGAAAGCGACCAAGTGTTCCACTCCAGGTCAACATGGCCGCTGCAGACCTGTACACAGAGGACTCTTCTTCGGTCACTAGAGCTCTGCAAGCGCGCCCACCGCCCGCCCCAGCAACGGCTTCTGGGAAGCCTAGCGCCTGCTTCCCGGGAAAGTCAAGGCCCCGCTGCGGGGGCTCCTCACACACACCAGCCCCACCCACCTCCAGGAAGTAGAAGCGGTCGGGGCCGCCCATGGAGTAGTCCTGCAGGCACTGGGGTAGGTCCTCCCCGTACTCCACAGTGCAGCGGCCCTGCACGGTCCGGAACTCCACCACTGCCTCCTCGTCGCTCCAGTACAGCAGGTTGATGTCGGCGTGGTAGCTCGCGGCGGTGGACTTGTGGGTGTTCTCTGGCCTGCGGGCAAGGGGTGCTCTGTGAGCGACGCTGTCTGGCCACAAGTCAGCATCCACTATCCAACAGGCCTGGGACAAGAGCCTTGCAGTGCGCGGATTTCGGAAGATTTACACATGCTTAACAAGATCTTAGGAGTAGAAGCCAAGTCTAAATCAGAATTCACGTCCGTCTCCTAGAATTTTCTACGCTGTTTTCAGGAGCCCTGCATGCTGACAGCGACCTGCTCGACCATTTCCGATCGGGAGCACCGCGCGTTTCCAGGTTAGGGCGGTCCAACCTCCAAACTGCATCGCCTTCCTGGGGTCCTCGGTGAGCCGCAGCAGAGCCACAAACCGCTGATACAATCAGTCTGAGGACCAGCCCCACTCGGTCCTGCCCTGTAGTCCTGCCCTGTCCTGTCTACGGCACTGCGGGCTCCTCCTGGCCACCGCCCCCGAGGACCTGTTCCTCACACCCGCCTGGACCCTGCATCAACACCGCCTCCCTGTGAGAACCACTTCCGGCGCTCCCCTCTCTCGCCCCATCAGCCAGTCTGTCCTCTCCGTGGTTACAACCAATGACCACACAGGGTGGGAAAGCCCTCCTGTCTGTGTGGGTTCCCTCCTGGCCACTGCAGTTCCAAGGAAGCCTCAGCAACCCCAGACACAGGACAAGGCCCAGAAGGAGACTGGGAAGGGGAGGTGGCGGAGGCAAACATCAAAAACAGGCCTCAGCTGGGCGTGGTGGAACATGCCTGTAATCCCAGTATTCAGGAGGCTGAGGCAGGAGGATCGCCACAAGTTCAAGGCCAGCCCGGGCTACACTGTGAGATCATGGCTACCCTAACCTACATGGCGAGATACTGTCTCAAAAACAGTAACAAAAAAAAAAAAAAAAAGGAAAACAGCGCCCAGGCTGCACCCTGGATATCCACCGAGAACATCTTCTGGAGAAGGGCCGTGCTGAACGGACTCCACCACCGAGCCACAGCTCAGCTGAGCCCCCAAGTCGCAAAACAAAGACCTAAAAGCAGCAGCTCTGAACCACACCAGCGCCTACAAGTCATCAGCCACCCCAGTGACTGGTACGAGCCCTGCTGCCCACAGCCCACCCAGCTCCAGCAGCCTCCCTGGCCGCTGACCTGTAAAACTTGTTGAGCTTGATCTTGATCTCTGCCTCGTTAGGCTTGCCATTGCTCTTCTTGGGGCAGAAGATCTCTTTTATCCGGCCAATGCGGTAGGGCTCAGGGGCGTCCAGGTTGCTGCCCTTGATGTAGTCAGAGTACTTCCGGTAGTGCTCCGGGTACAGCTCCTCATCCACCGCCTCCTTCCTCGGGCGCTTCACAGGGCTGGAGAGCTTGATGCTGTGGAGAAGGAGCCGCCAGGTGCGGCTGCCGTGAGGCCTTACTGCACTCAGCAATGCAACCGACCGGAGCGGCCCAGCCAAGCGCCCCGAGAACAGACACACATCAAAGGCAAATCTCAGTTCTGGTGGGCGTGGGAGCGCACGTCTGTCACCTCAGCATTTTGGGAGGCTGAGGCAGGAGGATCACAGGTTTAAGCCCAGCCTAGACAACTTTCTTAGTGAGACCCTATCTCAAAATAAATAAAAAGGGCAGAGCTCTTGGCTGTGGTTTAGGAGTTCGGTGCCCCTGCACGCTCGACTGTTAAAGGCCTGGTCCCAGGCTGCTGCTGCTGCGGAGGTGGCGGGGCCCTCTGGACAAGGGGCACTCACTTGAAGGCGAAGGCCTCAGGGGGCAGGTACACGCCGTCGCCCACCCGGTACAGGACGCCGTTCTTGGTGGCCGAGCTGTAGAGCACCCGGCTGTCCAGGTCCTCCAGCTGCTCCAGCACGCGGGGGATCTCCTTCTGCCTCAGCTCCGCCAGGTGCGCGCAGCTCGCACAGAACCTGAGGGGACCAAGCACCGAAACGGCGCCGTTTAACCAGAGACTCGGGCCGGGAGGAGAAGAGTTACAGGGGTGCGAAGGAGCCAGCCTCCTGCAGCCCAGGAGGACAGAGCAGGCGCTGGCACACGGCACCCAGCACACGGCATACGCCACACGCACGAAGACAGAGCGGGTCAGTGAGGGTGGAGAACACTCCGGGAAGGTGCGAAAGGCATTTGGGGACAGTCAGTATTGTGCTCAGGGCTTCTGGGCGGCAGTAGCGGGGCTGGAACCCTGGGCTTTGGTACTGAGCCGGGTTTCAGTATTCTATCTTGAGACAGAGCATTCCTAGGTTGCCCAGGCTGAGTTCAAACTCGTGATCCCCCTGTCTCAGCTTCTAAGAGTGCTGGGAGGACAGGTATGTGCCCCCACACCAGGCCCAATATTATCTTTGATTGACAGGTCCTCAAAGCGGAATTGGAGCCTGCCTTAAAAACAGACCAAGGGGCTGGGACGTAGCTCAGCGGCAGAACACGTCCTAAGCCGTGCAAGCCCTGTGGTCCGGGCACCCACACCCGCCCGCATGGCTGAAACAACCTTCAAGCCCAAAGCCCGCAGCAGCAGCAAGCAAAACAAAACCAAACCAAACCAAAAAATAAAGCCTGCAGCAGCTGCCAAGGCGCACAGAACCTAAGCGAGCCGTCCCGGCCTCACCCTACCCCCTGCGCCGCTGTCTTCGAATGCCCCGACTCACGGGAGTTTTACTTTTCCTCTTCTCTTGGCGGCACCAGGGTTGGAACTCAGGCCCTGCGCGCGGGGGGCACACGCTCCGCCGCAGCCGACCCACCGTCGGACCCTGTGGTCCCCTTGTGGGGACACTGGGTGGCAGCAGTGGACCACAGCCCTCGGTCACTTAGCCTCCAGACTCTACAGTCTGCGCTGCCCGTGATTTTGGATGCAATCGCACGAGGTAAGCAGCACCTAACCCTGACCCTGGCGCTCACGAGACAGGCTCTGTGAGCTGCACGCGGTTACGGATTGCTACGCCGAGCCACGCAGGCTGCCGGGTTAGGTGTGTTCAGACACCGTCACTCCTGGTCTGAGACAGTCTTGCTACGCAGCCCCGGCTGGTTGTAACCCCTGAACTTCCCGCCTCGGGCTCCAGAGCGCGGGGTCACAGCCATGCACCCCCTCATCAGTGGTTCCTGACTTTAGCGATCTTGAACTTGAGGCCTTCAGCGCGCACAGCGGCACCGCAAGCCATGCGCCCACTCTGGGGACGGCCACGGTTGCTTCTGTCCACACGGGGGCGGCAGAGGGCGGAGAGAAGCAGAGGGCAGGAAATACTCCAAGAAAGGTTTCCCAGGAGCAGCACCCACTGGTTAGAGCACAACCCAGGACCAGACACTTTTAGAGAGAGTCCCCAGACACAGAAGGAGAGACACGGGTACGGCGCACGAGGGACGGGGCCGTCCTGCCCGCACAAGGAATGACTCCGACCCCCGACGCCACACAGGCAGGCTGTCCGTGGGCCGCACGGATGGGAGCCGCGAGTGCGGGGGACGCTAGGGATTCAGATGAGGAGCGTATCCTGCGACATCCGTGACAGGGAGGGGGCCCACACCCCACTCACTTGTACTTATTGTCCTCGGTCGGCTCCACCTTGGGAGGGGACTCAAACCTCGCGTAGTCCTGGTCGTACCACAGCTGGTAGAAGTAGGTCTTCTTGGGGACCGCCGGCAGCATGGCCTCGGGATCCATGCCTCCCTTTGGGGACAAAAATGCATGTCACCCACGACACGCACGGCGGCGGCGCAGGCGCACGCAGGGCGGGCGCTCACCTCCATGGCCCAGTTCTCCGAGGGCTCCTTGTAGATGACCTTGACCTTGCTGTGGATGTAGGAGAGCTGCATGTCCTCGCACTCATCCACCAGGAACAGCTCCAGGGGGTCCGACGTGGCCCCGAGGACCGTGTCCGTGCCGGCGCAGAACCAGTGCGCGTGGAACATCTGCCCGTTGCTGCTGTCCTCCCACAGCGCTGTCACCCTGGAGTCCAGGGGACGGAGCCAGCTGAGCAGCAGAGCCCTGGGCACATCTACCCGGGCAGCTGCGGGCTCTGTCTGGCTTTATTCTGCCTAAGCAGCCATCACCTCCTCACTCATGAGAAAGGAAGTGGGCTGAGGCAGGGGCAGGGGCAGGAGGGCCACGCACCTTGCGAGATACAGGGGCGTTGAGGGGTCGTCTGGGATGACAGAGACGCAGTCTCCCACCTCCAGGGTCTCTGCGTCTATGCACACCTGCTGGTAGTAGCTCTTTTTCCCATCGGTCTGCGAACGAGAGGGCGAGCTCGGTGAGGGACCTCGTCGACCCAAGTCTCCAGAACCGTGCACACGAGACTCGGGGCTGCAGCTCCGGGCCGGAGTGTGTGCCCAGCATGCACAAGGCCTCCGTCCAACTCTGAGCACCCCACAAAGGATCCAAGTAAAGACATGGGCCGTCCTCATTTCACTGAGACGCCACGAGCTGGGCATGGGGGGCCCCCACTGTGATCCCAGCACTCTGGAAGGCTGAGCAGGAGGATCACAAGTGGGAGGTCAGTCCGGGCACCTTAGCAAGACCCTGCCTCAAAATGAAACTTAAAAGGTCTGGGGCGTGGCTTGTTTGTAGAACACTTGCCTCGCATGCAAGAGAACCTGAGTGCCGCTCCCTGCACCGTGGGGAGGAAACAAGAAAGCAGCCATGAGCTGCCTGGGCCACCTGCGCCCTGCGCCGCTGCAGGTCCCCAAGAGCACATAAGGACCTAGGACCCTGAGTTACCTTGATGGCTTCCCCAACCCAAGAGATCCGGTTCTTGTTCTGCTTCATCTTCTTGTTCTGATGCATTTTCTTGGGCGATGGCATCTCCGGGATGTCGTCGTCCACTTCCTCGTCGTCCTCGGCCTCCTTCATGGCCATGTTGGGACACCTGCAAAGCCACTTGTTAGCAGCGCGGCCCCTGACGCGAGCAAAACCGAGGCGGGCTACTGCAGGCTGGTGGTGGGGACAGGCCTGGGGCAGCCCTGGAAGGCACCCAGCCGCCCTGGGTCTCAGTCCCGCGCCCGCCCCTGCGGTGTCCGCACCTCCTCTTCAGGCAGGCCTGCTTGCTGCGGCCGCTGCCCCCGAACTTCACCATGTCCTTGCAGGCCTTGCACTTGCCGCACTCGGGCCGCTGGCAAACCTAGGAAACGCGAACAGGCAGGTGATGCAGCCACCTGCATCTGCTCAGTTTTGATGCTTTTCCTTTTTCTGTATCGGGGGACTGAACCCAGGGCCTCACACAGAGCCACATCCCTGGCTGTTTTGTTTTTCAGACAAGTTCTCACTAAGTGCCCAGGTTGCCCTCAAACTCATGATCCTCCTGCCTCACCTACCCAAGAGCTGGGATCCCAGGAGTGCACCACCATTCCAGCCAAGTAAATTAAGATCTTTAAAATATACACATTCAGGCCGGGTGCACACACCTGTAATCCCAGCACCCAGGAGGCTGAGGCAGGAGGATCACCGTGAATTCAAGGCCAGCCTAAACTGCACAGACACCTAGTCTTTAAAACAACAAAAAAGCGTATGTTTGATCTTGACAGAAGTACACAAAGTGAGTTAGGAACAAGACCGCTCCTACCCTCCTCCCGATCAGCACAGGTTACACCACCAGCAGATGTGGGAAGAGGGGACCTGCCCAGCTCCAAGGGTCACAAATAGCAGCACCTTGGAGAGCAGCCTGCAGATCAAAGTCCATCCACACCCCAGGCTCCGCCTCTGAGCGACAGACTCCAGGAGCCACGCCCTCCCGAAGGCTGCTATGCAGTTACTGACAACAACAAAAGTGCCCTATCCCTGAGGACTGGGTGGGTACTCGCCGGGCCCTCTGTATCTGTGCCTTCTGCACTTACGGAGTCAACCAGCCCTCATGAAAGCTGGGGGCAGAGCAGAACTATACTGGTGAAAGCTGTAATCCAGCTCCTCTGGAGGCTGAGGCAGGAGAACCCAGTCTGAGGCCAGCTTTGGCAACTCAGCGAGGCCATGTCTCCAAATTTACCAAAACAAAACAGGGCTTGGGGATGCAGCTCAGTCCTAGCACACTGTGGGGCTTCGTTCAGTCCCTGGCACTGCAACACACGTGAGAAGCGTGCTGAACACACGCAGGCGCTTCTCCTCACAATCCGCACAGCACAGCGCAGCAGTTACCTCCGCAGCGTTTACACTGTCAGGTCTCAGTCATTCGGAGTTTTGGGGCAGTGTGGACAGCACAGGCCCCGCCTCCACCCCAGCAGCCTCAGGCCCACACAGGCAGGCGCGGCGCACACAAACACAGCCTGAGCAGCCAGATTTTGGTAACCAAGTGGGGGTGGTCCCGGAACCAACGGTGGCACACAGAGCAGTTACGAAAGCTTAGCAAGTTCTGCTGCTATCCACACTTAACAGCACCAGGAAGCTGCTGTTGTATTTTTAAAACAAGCACGAAGCCGGTCGTGGTGGTGCACCCGTATAACCCGGGGAGGCTGAGACAGGACTCCCACCAGGGCGACTCAGTGACTTTGGTTCAAAAATAAAAAATAAGACACGAGGATGCTGATAGGTGGTAGGGTGCCCTGTGCTCAATTCCTAGTGTGCAACTAGATTAGACACACAGACAGGTAAATGACAGATGGGCAGTAGAGTAAGAAAGTTATAAACCCTGGACATGTGGAATAAATAAAAATGAAATCCAAACCATAATGGTGGGCCGGGGATACAGCTCAGCGGCACAAGCACCTGTCTGGCAAGTGCCACGTCCTGGGTTCAATTCCTGCTACCCACCAAAAAACAAACAAACAAAAATGCCAAACAAAAACCACAGTGGTGAGGACTTGCGCGTCCCTGCTAAAGGCGGCCACGGAAGACAAAGCTACAGCTCTGGTGCTGCTGGCACGCAGCCTCTCCAGGCAGCTCCCAGCCAATGTCACCCAAGACCCTAACACAGCCGCTCTCCAGGCCGCAGGAAGCAGGCGAACTCCTCTAAGGCACCTTCCATCGCCCCACAGGATCAGGGCGCCTGGCTGCAGCACCCCTCAAATCCAGGATCCACAGGCGCTCCCCGTACGCAGAAGGGTGTTTACACAGAGCCCCCTCCTGCAGCCTGACTCGGCTCTGCTGGCTTCTACTAACATGATATGAGGCCTATGTACACAGTTAACATACCGCGTCTACTCACTACAGGTGTAATATATATATATATATATATTTATATATATAGTTTGTTTCAGGGTTTGTTTTCTTTTAAAACACAGTCTCACATAGTTCAGGCTAGCATCCAACTTGCAACTGTCCACCTGCCTTAACCTCCCAAGTGCTGAGATCATGGACATGCACCACCATGCCTGGCCTTGTTTTTTGCTTTTTGTTTGTTTGTTTGTTTATCCATTTATTTATTTTTTTGGTTTTTTTCTGGTACCAGGAGTCAAACTCATGACCTTGCGCTTGCCAGGCAGGAGCTGTGCCGCTGAGCTAAATCCCTAGCCCTTGTTTTTTGCTTTTTGAAACGGTCTTGCTATGTAATTCAGGCTGGCATTGAACTCACTAAGTAGCCCAGGCTGGCCTTGAACTCACAGCAATCCTTCTGCCTCAGCCTCCCCAGTGCTGGGATTACAACCATGCACCACTACGCCCAGCTAAATGTAGTATTTTTGTCAGTCTCTATCTGAGGTTGGCTACATTCAGAAATGCGGAACCTACAGATACAGAGAAACAGCTGCATAGATAAACACTTCACCAAAAGTGAGGTCGTGCAAGGCTTGCAATCCAGGCCAGCCCTCCACCCCTTCCCTTCCACGTTTGTCCGTGAGGCACACAGGCCCCCTGGAGCAGAGCGCTGCCTCTTTCTCCCCTGCTCTGCTGAAGGACAGGCTGTGTCTGGCAGCCAGCCTCAGGAGCGCAGCGAGGAGGGCGCTGTCCAGGATGCGGCCGGCAGCCAGCCCAGGCAGGGTTACCTCACACACGCCACAGCGCCGCCTTTTGAAGGCATTCTCCTTGTCCTCTTTCTCGTCCTTTTCAATCTGCTCCGAGAAGAAAGTGTCAAAGATCTCGTAGACCAGCTTGGTGGTGGTGGCTTTTGTGGGTCCTTTGTCCTTCTCCTTGGCAGAGTGCCTGAGCCTGACCGTCTGCCGCCTTTCGGCTCGCCTGAGAGAGAGGGGCCGCCGTTGCAGAGGACTGGGAGCGGACACGGGAACCTGCCCTTTCCGGTCCCGGCCCCAGCCCGACTCCCGCTGCGCCCTTACCTCTGCCCCAGGGTGACCCCTGCCAGCTTGATGAGGGCTCTCATGCAGGGCGACAGGAAGATGGGCTGCTCGTCACTGTCCTTGGCATCGTCGTAACTCTCCACTTGTCCCACCACGAACTGGGCGTGGCGGAGCAGAGAGTCCTCTGTGAACCGGTTCACGTTGATCATGGAAGGGGGGACAGTGGTCTTTGGAGGAGAAAAGAAAAAGGGGGGCACAGGTGTTTCACTTGTGTCTTCTGTGCAGTGCTGCGCTGGAAGCCAAGGCCTCACACACGCCAGGCAGGCGCTCGCCACCGAGCTCGAGCGTAGGCAGCCCTGTTCCTCTAATAAACAGAGCCAGGCTTATGGCAGCATGGGGGGCGGGGAGCAAGTGGGCACGAACTCGGTGAGGAGCACGGGGAACCTCTCACCTCAATCTTGTTGATCAGGTCCTCGTAGGTGGCGTCAGGATTGCCCTGCAGGAACTCAATCACGATCTTGCTAATGTAGATCTTCTCCTGTATCAGGCTAAAGATGGGCTCGTAATCTGGGCTGGGCTCCATAAGAATGTACTCCGCAAAAGCTGACGGGAGAACACGTAAGTTTTCAAAAAAAAAAAAAAAAAAACAACAAATTAAGGTATAATCATCCAGTCAGGGTCATTAGCACCTCTGTCTCCAGTGCCTATCTGCTCTCTGCGCACATGACTTTAAGAGACGGGGTTTCCCTCCGTCAAGCAATCCTCCCACCTCTCCCTCCCAAGCGCTGAGGACCTCAGGTGCACACCACCCGGCAGGTCAGAGCAGGGAGGAGCATGTGGAACAGTCTAAAATCATCCCACAGGGGCCAGGCATTTAGCTTAGTAAAATAAGCACTGCCTGACAAGTGCAAGGTCCTGAGTTCAATTCCCATTACCAAAAAAAAAAAAAAAAAGAAAATCATCCCACTTAAAAGGGCTGGGGATATAGCTCAGCGGCACAGCATTTGCCTTACAAGCATGAGGTCATGAGTTTGATTTCCAGTACCACCAACCCCCGCAAAAAAATAGGACACCCACTTAATAAAGGAATAAAATAAAATCATTCCACAAAACAATGGAAAACACAAAGCACCACCTGTCACAGCTCATTCTGAAGCTGCCTATTCTGCTTGAGAATGGACACAAGCTAGGCAGGCTTTCAGCAAGCTCATGTGCATCTTGGAACCTGCTCTGGCTCTGAGCTGCAGGGGTATGAGCTGCTCTTAAACCTGGCCGGCTGTAAGTAGCAGGAGAGGCTGCCCTGCTGCACTGAGGCCCCATGGTGCCGTCCGCACCCTGGGCGGGCAGAGCCCAGGCCCCCTTCGCGGCCCCGGGCTACCTGCAAGGCGCTGCACCTACCCGTGCTGAAGCCGATGAGCGCCTTCTCGCCGCCATCGTAGCCTGTGATCCACCATTCATTGATGGGGCCGAGATTTTTGCCATTAACGCCACCTATGAGCATGGAAGGAAGTTTCCCGAGGGAAAGGCAACAAGCCCAGGTCCCGTCCAGAAGCCCGGAGGGCGCTCCGAGACCCGGCCTGGTTCCTGCTTCCCACCGCTGGCCCAGGTGGTCACTGCTGGAGCCACTCTGCTGACAGCCACGGCGGCAGAACCTGGCGCCCACACGGACAGAGGCGGCAGCTCCCTCGCGCTGCCACTTCACAAGTGAGCTGGGTGTGTTTGGTTTTAAGCCACCAACGGGCCCCAACATGACCCTAGGGCACTGCACACACCTTCTAAAGATGGGTCTTCTTCATAGATTGCTTTCGCTGAGCCAGAGAAATAGAGTTCCACGTTCTTCTCGATGAGGCCGGTGTCGATCGGGCACAGGTGACCTCGCTTGCAGTACACGCTGGACAGGCGGCAAGAGGCACTTCTTAGCTACCCTTGAAGGTGACCACGGCACGGGGCCGGCCCAGGCAAAGGGGACGGACTAAGTCTAAGCCCAGACCAGCCATCTCTCTGGTGGCTGGACACTAGGCAAGTACCGCGCTCTATCACTCGAATGTTCTCCCTGCCCAAGAGGGCGCAGTCTGCCCAGGTGGCCAGGAAAGGTCAGCAAGAGGTCCAGTGGGAGAGGCCCTGCCCGCCACAACAATCTGCTCACTCATCTGTGCAGCCATCGCCTGTCCAGCTCTAAGACCTCCTGTCACCGGAAATACAAGCTCAGCCCAGCAAGCGGTCACTCCTGACCCCCAGGCCCAGGCCCAGGCCCCGGCATGGCAGGCAGCTCAGTTGCTTGTTTGGTTTTTTCCGGTACCGGGAATGGAACTCACGACCTTGCGCTTGCCAGGCAGGCAAATCTGTCTCCAGCTGAGCTAAATCCCCAGCCCCTCAGGCAGCTCAGTTTCTGACGGTTTCCCCGGGCAGCACGATAGCTTAGGTGAGCTGCGCTTCAGTAAGGAAATTCACTCGGAACCGTAAAGTAGGCCCAGAGCAGGACAGGAAGGGGCTGCTGGGGGTGCAGGGCAGAGGGTAGTCTTCTGTCTTCTGCTGGGGGACAAACAGGTGCCTATTCCTCCTACCCCAGGAATCATACGAGATAAACTCCAAACTGTTTAAGGGACACTGAATGCCGGAGCGGAGCACCCACCCACCAGTGCAGGGGCAGCAGAGAGCACGGTGGCAGCCCTGCCTTCTTCCTCCCGGGCTAAGGGAAAGGAGGACAGACAGGATGTGCGGGGGAGGCTCCATCCCCAGCCTGCCAGGCGCTCCCTTCCCAGAGGTGCCACTGGAGCCAGACTACACCCATGACTGGTCCCCGCCGGCCACACACAGCCCAAGGGCACAGCCGGCTAACCAGGCGGCCTGGCTCCCAGCCGGGAAGCTGTCCTCAGTGCCCCCGCAGGAGGGAGCCAGGGCTGTGCTGGCGACACCACCAGGAGGCCTTGGACTGCCACACACCCTGTCCACCTAGCAGGTTTCACAAGGGCCGCCGTGGGGCAGCCCCGGGACAGTGGGGAGACAGGAGGCACGGCCAGTAGTCAGTCACGGGGGAGACGCGGGCCACACACGACCCCAGCGATACACAGGGACCTGCCCGGGGTACAGGAGCCCCAGCCTGGCCACACACTGCTGGGACAGCAGCCTGCTGTCTGCTCGGAGACCTGCCCCACGCTTTGTTTGGGCCCCTGGCCCTCCTCTGGGTCCCTGCTCACCAGGCCAAGCGATCACTAATCCAAACCCGGGATACTCCAAAATCCGAACTGCCGAGCACCGACCAGCATCACATGGAAAATGTGACGTGACCTCATGTGACTGTGACCTTGTGTGACAGCTGAAGTCAAACGGCTAATGCATTAAAAATAGTGCACAGAACGACCTTCCGCGCACATGGCCGCAGTGGCTACAGAACAGCAGTAAACTCCAGTTTAGACCTGAGTCCTGTTACCGGGGCATCCATTACACACACACATAAATACTCTGAAATCCAAGAACTCTCAATTCCCCAACACTTCTGGCTCCAAGTGTTTTTCATAAGGGGTATTCAACCTACACTTCCTATCAGATGTCACTTATTTCCTCTTCCACTAAGGCAGGGACCTGCAGTACCAAATCCATTATCACCCAGATCAGCACCCAGCTCAGGGCTGGCCCTCATTTAACAGTATGACCTAGCTGGGGATGGTGACTCGTGCCTGTAATTCCAGTGTTCTGGGAGGCTGAGGCAGAAGGACTGCATGTTCAAGCCCAGCCCGGGCAGCCTTGTGACTTAGCAAGATCCTGTGTCAAAATTTAAAAATGTTGGGGCTGGGGATTTAGCTCAGTCTGGCAAGCGCAAGGTCGTGAGTTCAGTTCCCGGTACCGGAGAAAAACCAAAAAAAAAAAAAAAAAAATTAAACATGTTTAAAAAGGGGCCATGGATGTAGCTCAGTGTGAGGCCCTGGGTTCAATCTCAGATACTACACAAAACAGGAAAGTATGACCTTTGTGGTGTGCACAGACTGATGACTTAACGTTGAGAGTTGTAACCACCTAAAAACCAACAGAAACTTCAGAGCAGCCAAGGCCTATGCCAGCTCCACAAACGCCGCTGTTAGGGACTGGGGCTCAACACCAAGACCCTAGTGCTGTCACTCAGCCACGCCTCAGTGGTGCAGCCGTTACCTGAAGCACGTGAGCTTGTGCTGGGGAAAAGCCTCGTAGCTCTCAAAGCCAGATTCGTTGGAGTCAAAGATGGACAGCGCCTCGTTGGTCAGCATCTGGGGCTCCTCCAGCTGAGGGACAGGGGAGCATTAGGCAGAGGCACGTGATCTGGGAGACAGGGAGGGGGAACAATGCTCGGGCACTCACCGCATCAGGAGGGTGCTGCTCATACTTGAGGTCGACGTCATCTAGGTACTGCCCACACTGGACACACCTGGGGGGCTGGAGCTGCGGAACAGAGACGGGCTCAGGGGGTGGCGCCGGCAACACATGCCCCCACCCCACCTCTGCCACGATGCTTACCCTGGAGTTCACCATGGCCTTGCTTCGAGGCGGTTTCTTCTCTGCCCTGGGGAGAAAGCACAGGGTCGTTGGCTCCTCCATGAATTCAGAACATACCACAGTGGACCGTGGTCCCTAAGCCACCTGTGCCTAGGACCCATGACTCCAGTAAGGCACCAGGCACCACGTCACGGCTGGCCATTTACCCCCCAGAGGAATCCTGCCTCAGCCTGCAGAACCGGGGAGTCCTGGTCCTGACCTGCTGACCCGATGCAAAGCTAAAGTTGCTCTAGAATTTCACTAAAAACCTTTCTTTTTTTAATTTTGTTTTAGATAAGATCTTGCTATAGAGTCCAGGGTCCCCTTGAATTCACTATGTAGCCCAGGCTGGCTTTGAACTTACAGTGATCCTCCTGCCTCAGCCTCCCCAGTGCTGGGATTACAGGTGTGCGCCATCACACTGGGCTACCTTTTTAAAAATACACCTTTCACTGATGCCCATTTGATAAAATATTGAGTTTCAAAGAGCTATTTTCATATATCCAGGTACCATTCTGATCACACCCACCCTCCCTCAACCCCACCCCCTCTCATCTTTCTAGGACAGTCTCAACATTATGATCTGCTTTTTTTTATGATCTGCTTTGTAAAAAGACAAAAATAAATTCTTACGGTTCTTTAGGTATGGTTTTACGTCTCTTCTCCTCCTAAACAGAGGAAACAAAGAGGGATAAAGAGTAAGAAACGTGAAGGCCTTGAGTTCCTCCTTACTATCGCAGAATAAATAGAAGGCAGTCGAGGCAGCAGGGCCCACTCTGCAGTACAAGTCAGAAGAGCCGCGTGGCAACACGGAGGTGGTGGCCATCTGCACATAGCGGGGCCTCCCCAGAAACCAGCCCGGTGGCCACCTTGACCTTGGACTCCCAACCTCCAGGACTGAGAGCGGACGACATCTGCTACTTGAGTTGCCCAACTGGTTCCAGCGGCCTGACCTCACCAGCACATGGGGAAGTGGATTTTTAGACTCCTAGCAGGGAAGGAAAGAACTAGATTCTCACTCCACGCAATTCCTGATGAAATCACGGATGTGGACAATGACAGTTACAAACATTAAGTGAGGGCTGAGGTGCAGCTCGGTGGGGAACACTGCTGAGCATGCTTGGGGCCCTGGGTTCCAGCGCAGCGCCAGCACCAGAAAAAAAAAATTGAAGGGACTTCATGGTACACAGACCAGGCTGACAGGATCTAAATCCATGATCAATCCTCCACCACCGCCAGGTGAGGAGGCACATGCTTATAATCCCAGTATTTGGGAGGCTGAGGCAAGAGGATCATTTTGAGTTTGAGGCCAGCCTGGGCTACATAGGTGAGCTCAAGGCCAGCCTGAACTGCATGGTGCGACCGTCTCAAAGCGACCCCCCCAAAAAGAAAAAAAAATCTCCATTACCAAGACACCACAGCATCTCCTGAGGCGGTGCCACCTCAGGAGCTCACTGGAAAGTGACACAGAGGACCTCATATAGCACAATGGTAACGATCTGACTCAAGAAAGTGACACATAGCTGCAACTGGCCACGCCGCCTGCACTAGACAGGCCTAGGGACACCAGCTGGCCCAGCGCATGGCCTAGCAGAGCAGACGGCCTGAAGCAGGTCAGTGATTTACGCAGAGCAAGAAAACCAAAGAGGATCTGCGCAACTGCTTCGAAGACAACAATATGCAATGCTTTAACCACTGTTAATTTCTTATTATCCTGCTTTGAAACGCTGTACCACTGTTTTTACTGCATTTTTTCATCTTTCTCTCTTCAAAATAAAAAAAAAAAGAGATATTTAAAAGTCCCGACAGAACACCGCCATGTGCTGTACAATGTTGGAGTCAAAGGTGGGTCACACGCAGCAGGGTCCTAGGGTCCCTCGAGGTGTCACTGCCTAGTGATGTCACAGCCGTCTCCATTTGAAACCCCCCGCCGCTCATTTCACAGGATGCGTCGTCACCGTCAGGCAGCTCACAACTGCACCCAGCCTACATCCTGTTTGTGTCCATGACTCAAAATGTGAAGACCAACAGGAGCCGGCCGTGGGGCGCGCACCTGGAATCGCAGTCAGGCCCAGCCCAGGCAACTTAGTGACTCCCTTGTCTTCAAAAGAAAAAAATGGAAGTGCCAGGGAGACAGCTGAGTGGCACAGCACCTGTCTGGCAAGCACAAGGTCCTGAGTTCGATTTCCGGTACCAAAAAAAAAAAAAAGCCAAGAAAAAATACAGAGGGCTGAGATGTAGCTCAGTGCAAAGGTCCTGGGTTTAATTCCCAGTACGAGGGGTAAAAAAAATAGAAGAAAGAAAACCTGGGAAATGTAATTTGAACACAGACTAGATGTCGGATACTATTTTACCTAAGACACCGGGCATTACGGGCATTTCAAACGAGCCCTGCCCTCAGACTGCTCTCCTAACTCTGCTGGGATCTGCGGGCCAGATGGGGTGAGCAGGGCTGCGGCCGGCTGCACTGCGCTTGCCGAGAGTGATGAGGCCCATGCCATGTCTCCTCTGGGGTATGTTTGATCAAGAGCACAGAAGTTGTGGGGTTTTTTTTTTTGGTTTTTTTTTTAAATACACTGCTTTTTTTGGTGTAATGCTAGGGATCAAACCTACGCCCTGATGCATGCAAGGCTAGCGTACTACCACTGAGCTACATGCCTAGCCATTATAAAAATAAAAACTAAAAGTTTTAAAAACACCTTTTGAACAATCCCAACCAATGCAGCGAGATGGAAACCCAAGGCCTTACCCTCTCGTCCTCGTCCCTCTCCTCGGACGTGTTCGGCGTGGCTGGCTCACACTCCATCTCCTCGGTCCTCCGTTTGGGAGCTCTGGGGGATAAACACACAGCGCGCGTTAGTGAGGAGAGAGCAAGGGCTGATGACGGACCAAAGCCTCCCTGCTAGGAAGCAAGACCCTGCGCTCCGTGTGCACCCCCAGGGCCCGAGCAGTCCCCACATACATGGGGAGAGGGACACAGTAGGGACGGCCAGGGTTTGCATCGGCCCCTGGTCCCGCCCTGATGGATCCACCCTCCCACAGTGCCCCAACTGCCTGTACACCCCTCCATCACACCAGTGCTCCAGAACAGGGCTTGGGGACCGGGGGTGACCTGAACACTAGGGCCTCCAGCCACTTACACATCCCTGGGTTGACTTCTGGACCTCTGTTCATCCTGATGGGAAACGCGAGGTGGAGAGAAAGCAGAGCGGGTTAGTTTCTGAGCCACCCTGAGAGAGGGGATGCGCACACACCAGCATGGGGGTTCAAGGCCTCAGCCCCGAGGGTCCAGAGAGCAGGACCCCGGGCAGAGCAGGGGAGCACCTGGGTTGTGAAGTCCTCCCTTCCGGCCCCCGCCCTGAGAGCAGGCAGAGGCTAAGAATCTTCTACCACGCCTGGCACTGAAAAAAATCTAAACCAAGGAGTGGTAAAGTGCTTCCGTGAAAGGCCAGGTAGTCAGGGGTGGTGATCTACGCCGGTCATCCCAGCACTCTAGGAGACCGAAGCAGGATGATCCCATGTATGCACCCACCATGGGCAGTTTAGCGAGGCTGAGTACCAAATCAAGGGCTGGAAATGCAGCTCAATGCAAGGCCCCCGGTTCCATCCCCAGGGCCTGTGCACACACACGGGGCCACCCAATAAACACCATCAGCTTTGTGCGGCGCACAGCCTGTGGCACACTCATCTCTGCCACTCTACGGCATGAGAAAACCTTTATTAGAGAGCTTCACGAAAACAGGCAGTGGGCAGGATTTGGCCTGCAAGCTGGGCCCTGCCAACCTGTGCTCGAGAAAGCTTTACCTGTCCTTGGCTTAGAGGTGAAGGCTTCCTACAGACCGGCACTGGGGTATTAAGGAAAAAAAGGAATCGCCAGGCATGGTGATTCACCTGTTATCCCAGCACTCAGGAGGCTGAGACAGGAGGATCACTGAGAGTTCGAGACCAGCCTGTGCTACACAGTTAGCTCAAGGCCAGCCTGAACTACACAGCAAGACCCTCTCTCAAAAAGAGAAAAAAAAAGAAAAGAAACAAAAAAAGGAATCAAGCTTAGGAATCTGCTATGGAAAATCAAGAGGAAGTAGCAAGCTGGGGATAGTGGTGCAGGCTTGTAGTCCAGCACTCTGAGAGGGTGAGGCATGGGGATCACAAAGTTCAAGCCCAGGCTGGACTACATGAAACCCTGCCTCAAATATATTAAAAAAGAGAGGGAAAGCAGAAGTTGATTTTGCACACGCTCGCAGGCACGCGCACGCACACACGCACACAGTCCTCCCCACCTTGACAGTGAACAGAATGACTTAACACTTGCCATCCGTGCAGACGGTGTAGTGACAACACCACCTCATCCAAGGCAGGGGCAGGTGAGCCCAGCGCCCCGAGCCTGGATGCGGGGCTGGAGCTGAGCCCAGGCGCTGTCCTGCACCACCTTCCCCAAACACGTCCCGGAGGCTAAGGCAGCTCTAAGGAATCGAGGACTCGCCCTTACCATCTCCTCTCCTTCCACATCCATGTCTGTGTGAGTCCCGGGCCGGCCTTCCTTGTCCGCCTCCTCCTTCGCTCCCTGTGTCAGGGCTCTGCCAGCGAAACACATATATATCAGGCGGGCCAGGCTGGGTGGGCTGGGCCAGGCGCCGCCTCAGGCAGCCCCACGGGGCTCACATACCTAAGATCCCTCCCCAGACTCAGAGCGGGTCCCTCAGCCTCCATCACAGCAAGCCCAGGAAGCAATGTGACTTTAGTTTACCATCTGCAGAAACCCATCCACACATCCCATGACTCCTGTGTACGTGTGTGCCTGCGTGTTGCTGGGGATGGAGCCCAGGGCTTCGTGCCTGCTGGCCAAGGGCTCACCACTGAGCTACACGCTGCCCTCCACACGAACGTGAATCAGAAGCTGGGTGCAGGAGGGAACGCTTGTGATCCCAGCTACTCAGGAGGCTGAGACAAGTTCAAGGCTAGCTCGGGAAACTGAGTGAGACTGTCTCAAGGAGTAATGAAAGACAGGAGCCCACTGACTGCCCTGGGCTGACGGGAGCCCTGTCTGCCATGGAGGACGGCGCGGTGGCCTGTACGGTTCCAAGAAGCGGCTGAGTGTAGGCTACAGGCGCAACAACTGTGGACGGCTGACCACACTCGAGGGGCCTAGGGTCCACCTCTCCATCGGGCCCTGGTGCTCAGGTGGGGCACTCGGCCCTGTCCTTACCCACGCCCTGTGTATCTGCCCCAGCCGGCTGGCTTGAGAAAGCTCCTTGTGCCCTCACGCTCCGCCCCTGCCAAAGTGTGCCCCAGCTGACACAGGTGACAGCTACCAAGCCAGACTGCTAGGCTCAGGACAAACTCCTTCACGCCCCTGAGCCAGGCAGTGTCCTCACAACGAGGGTCACCCACGGACCCCCGGTCAGGACCACCTTTGCTCCTGGTACTAAGGCTGGAATGCAGGGTACGTGCAGGGAGCTGCATCCCCACCCCCACCTCCGTCCTCTATTAGCTTGTGACAAGCTCTTACTGAGTTGCCCAGGCTGGACTTGAACTTGTGATCCTTCTTGCCTCAGTCTCCCAGAGTGCAGGAATGGCAGGTATGCGTCACTGCACCCAGCTCACTGAGCGGCCTTTGACACAGAGCTATCTGACCAGGCCGGGTCCAAAGGAGCCATGGCAGACTCCAGCCTTCGCTGCAGTGGCTTGAGGTTCCCGAGTCGGCTCAGCTGTCCACGCGGCATGAGCATAATTAACACCTAAGCACCACTACCAACCACAGCCTGCCCAGAGCACGCCTGGCAGCCAGCACGGCTCACGAAGCCCAGAACGACGCCAACTGTACTTACGGCTCTCTGGTCTGACTTCTAAGTCTCCTGTCTTCCTAAGGGAAAGAGAAAAACCCAAACGTTAGTTTTCCAGTTTGAGTCTCATCTTTCTGTGCAGCTGCTACATAGAAACAGCACACCTGAAACTACCCCTAGGCTCATGGGGATGGGTAACGGCAGTCTGCCTTTAAGATGATTTGGGGGGAGGTGAAGCAAGCAGATAAGAGATTGAAGAAATTCTTAGGAAAGAGACCCTAAAACCCCACAGTTGAAGCCAATGTGGTAGGCAGCGTGTGCTTGCAATGCCAGGTACTCAAGAGGCTGAGGCAAACGGATTCCTAGTTTGAGGGCAGCCTGGAAACCTTAATGAGACCCCATCTCAAAAAAACAAAATGACCAACCAAGATTTATGGTGACTCACGCCTTTAACCGCAACACTTGGGAGGCTGAGGCAAGAGGATCACCTCAAGTTCGAGGCCAGCCTGAACTACACAGCCTAGACCCCGTCTCAAAAAACAACAAAAAAGCAACAAGAAAAAAACTAGGTGTGGTGCCACACGCTTGTAATCCCACTACTTGGGAGGCTGAGTCCAAGTCCCCAGCCAGGGCTACATCGAGATCCTACACAAAAGAATAAACACTGAGGAGACAGCTCAGTGGTAGAAGACCCCTGGGTTCAGTCTCCCA